TTGTCTGGCCTGTTGGAGCTGTCACCGGACTGGAATGATCCTCCAATCTTTCCATGACCGATGCTACGGTCTCAAGGTTGAGTTGAAGCTCGTCCACACGGTCACGAGTTTCACCAACCACTGCTTCACAGTACATGATGCACTTGTCCATGGTCGCAAGCTTGTCAACTGACTTGTCACGCTTGCTATGCTTTGAGCTGGTGCTTTTGTCTTTAGGAGAGCTACCTCTAGGCTTGTCCTCATTATAAACCCGTGAGATCCCTTCCTGGATCTCCTCTCGCATGTTAGTGGTAAGCACAAACAGTACGTTAATCTTTTTGGGGAGTGACAAAATCATATACTGAACATGTTACATACTAATTAGATGCGTGCTTATGGCGCTGATGGTGGCTGAACCGTCACACAGCGGTGGTGTGTAACCCTTCCCCAGTCATTTTCTCCTCTTCTTCTTTCCTCCTCTCTATTCTATTCTCCCATATTTCTCTTTCTCCCTCTCTCCTCCACTATTTACCATCTCTTTCGACGAACAAGAGAGGAGTTGCAGTGGCGAAACTCTTCTGTTATTCTCGTTCAATTCATCCTATCTCCTGGAAAAAATCCAACTGATCCTCGACCTCACTATATCCCTCATCATTCCCTCTTAACCTTTCATCATTTTCCAACTCTCCCACTCCATCGACCCTTTCCTCTTTAGTTTCCCCGTTCGGATAGAAGAATTCGACGCAGCGGCCACAGAGATCTCGCCGGTCAAAGAAACTCAACCCGGCATTGCGTATTGCTCCCATGAGTCTATAGGTTGTTCTCCTCCGGAGCCATATCTGTTCGAGTGCTAACTATCCAAAGCCGAAGTAGACTTGAAGCTCATCTGTACTGCTGTATTCATCGTCCGTGGAGTAGATCCGGACGCAACAATGGTCGCCTGAGCTCCCATCCTCGACCAGTTGGCGAAGTTCATTACTGAACCTCCCTCTTAGCTCCATTAACATCCTGATCAATCTCCGTGAAATTCGAAGACGAGTGACGCTCACCGGAAGCTCAGCCGAAGCTCCCTCCCTTTGTTCTGTTGATCGATTTTGGGTTCAGACACAGTCAGGTAACTCCCCTCCCCTCTGTAGTTAGTTTTTTTTTTGGTTTATCTTTATTTTATTTCCCTGTATCCGGCTTTAATCGGAGGTTGAGGGAGGGGGGAAGAGAGTCGACGGACCTGTAAGCTCTCGTCCCCTTCCCAACTCTGTCATAATTTTTCTCTGTTGTTAAGTTTTCTTCTCTGTGATTAATTTTTCTTTGCTACTGATGATTTCTTAGATTACACTTTCTTCTGGTGTTAGATCCAATTGTCTCAGTCAATGGTTGATTTGTGTAGGCTAGATTCTTATTTCTTTTTCATGAAAAGCCTCTGGTTTATTCAATTATTTTTTTCACTGTAATTAGCTTGACCTTTTGAGTTGATGGAATGGTAACTTGACCTTTAGTTTCATCCGGTCTTGATAATACCTGCTAGAACAACTGGTTTATTAAATCCTGTTTTATTTATCTTTCCTTCTAATATCAAAGCTGCAAGAATAGGATCAGTCCATCCAATCCTCTGTCAACCTTTGTTTCCCGAACCAATTAGCATGATTTTCTTTTCTTTTTTCTTTTAATCTTAACACAAATAGCATGTTTATCTTTCCTTTTAACAGAAATCCGATCAGCTAGATGTTTAGGATCTTTTTTTTTTCTTTTTTCTTTTTAATTTTCAGATGCCTTTTTATCTTATTTTATTTCCTTTTCATTATTAATCAATTGTGTTATAGCCGAGTAATGGAACTGCTTCTTAGGTGTTCTGCATGTTAAATAATAATCAAAATGTTAGATCCTCTACCGCAGTAGTTGGTCATTAATTATCTTTTATTTTATTTTATTTTCTCATTGTCGAGTAAAATAATTTAGGATCTTGTTTGATGCTGATTAATTGCTTATATTTACTCTTAGAGTCCCTTGTGGACCCCCCGCCTTTTGGACCCAGGAGAGGGGTGCCTAACCCCTTCCTCTCTCTCATATGAGTCTTACCCGGACTGGTTAGCTGGTGCCTCGAGCCTTGGAGTCACTATGAAACCAAAAATGATTTTTTGGCATAATTCTTGGAGGTCCCATCACCTCTATTTCACTTGATTGATGGGTGGCGAGTCCAAATCAGCCCAAGTGAGCCGTTTTCTGATGCTCACACCCACCACCAATATTGTGTTAAAGATCAACTTATCTGTTATAGGCCTTTTGTTTCTCTTCTTTGTTTTCTTCCTTTTTTTTGTTTTTGTTTTCATCGCTAAATAGGAATAAGTGGAGTTCAGGTTAGCGTTTCACTTTGTTCCTGTTGAACTACTCCACTACAATCTAGGAGATTTGATTAAATGCGCATAGTGAGATTGGTTTTATTTGCATGTGCTGCCATTTTTGATGTTTATCTGGTTTCACATTACTATGTGCTGCTGTCTCCTTGTTTATTTTCTTGTACTTTCATATACTTTTAACTCCTGATATTATCAAATCAATAAGATGTGATTGCATTTCTGCTTTTCTTGTTCTGTAATTGTCCACTTGGTTCTATCGCATTTCAGCATACCGGCATTGGGATCTATTTTCATATCATTTCAAGATGTGCTGTTTAAACTGATAAGAAAGTTGTGTTTTAATTAGTTAGACGTCTTAGTATATCGACAATCGTTTATCCTATTGTTATGCTTATCCAATCATAAATTCAGTGGTTAGGATTAGTTAAGCTTCGATTCTTACTTTGTTGTGCGATCTAGGGTCCTTGATCTTCAACTCATTAGTTCCCTTGTCATTATCATTTTGCCTGCTTTTTCATTGGAATTGTGTGAGAGATAAATGTTGATCAGTTTTTTTCCTCCTTTTTTTATCTTCATTTAATCTCATGTATTTGATGGCCATTGATTTCAGCTTGGGCTATAGCTATTAAACAAGCTTTTGCTCGTCTTTTAATGGTTACAGGTAGGCTTCTTTTTTATCCTTCACAAATAATGGAAGTGTAAACTGCTGTATTCAGAATGGTATTTGACCTCAATTTCATGCCAAACTTAGCCTTGGAATACCCGTGTAGGCCCCATCTATCGGACACAGGAGAGGGGTGCCTAAACCCTTCCTTCTCCCATCCAAATCATACCCGAGCTGGTAAGATTGGCACCTTATATGTGGAGTCACTAAAAAGCCAAAATGATTTTAAGTGGAAAAACCCGGGAGGCCCATCCCTCCAAATTCGTTCCCAATGATGGGTGGTGACTCCAACTCAGCCCCAAGTGAGCCATTTTCCGACACTCACAGTTGCCTTCTGGTAACTTATCAGTCTTTTTTTTCCCCTTTTCCTTTCAAGTTGAAGAAGAAGAAGAAGAGTCTCAGGCTTTCTATGCCAGTAAACGAGTTAAGTCTGTTAAATTGTCATCTATTTTTTTTAGTCTTTCGGTTTTTGTTAAATTGTCCATTTGTTGAACTTAACCTTTTCTATTTTTCTCACTATTACCAAAAGAAAAAAGGTTTCTGACTTCCCACCCCACCAAAGCTAGCTCAAGTGCAACTAAGTTCATCATTCATTTAGGTAATGGCATAATGCATCAATCTCAATGGACAACACCCCATCTTAGGATTGCACTTAACTACTACAAGTTCACCTATTTTTGGTAAGCTTTCCTCAAAGATTTAGGGATTCCCTTCTGGAACTATAGGAGCTTGCCATGTATCTTTGGTAAAGGAATTATGTGCTTATAGTAAGATTAATAAGAAATATTTCCTAAACAAAACTTCTGATTAATCTCTATGTTTTCACCGAATATTCTTGTTTTGGTGCAGGTCATGATAGAAGCCCCATGTATATTTCTTGCAAGTTGTGATATATGGGGTTGCAGTAAATGCCAGGATTGGGCTTGATTTGACAGTAGCCTTAATTTTCGGTAAGTCTTATTTCATGTATTCTTAACTCATTGTTGAACTACTTTTTCTCTCTCTCTCTCTCTGATCTGTATATATTGTTTTCTCTTGCCCTCAGGTATCGAGTTTTCTGGCGTCCCGGCAACAGAACCAGGGTTTTTAATGTTTTCCTTCCACAAATTTACTTGTTCAAAGAAGTCAAAGTAGGGACAATTGGCTGAATCTTCAAGGAACGCCTCATACCTGAGACTTGGGTTTCTAAATACACCTTTTAAAATTGAATCCTGTAGCCGTATTATCGAAAATGTGTGTAATTGCTCTTTTTTATTGCCTTTCTTTTTAACTTAATTCTGTTCATTCGTTCTTGACATCTTAATATTGTTAAGTTGAATTTTGTAGCCCCTTTGTTTTATGTTTCTTTGTCTGCTTCAACACTTTTTTTTTTTTTGATGCAGGGGAGCTGTTAAATTGGAATTGCATTATCCCAAAAGTATTAATGGGGTAACTGTGGATCCCCAACCGGATTGGAGTCCAGAGGGGCTTATATCAGAGTTGAAATCATTAGAGTTGAAGCTCAATCCCTCTTCTGTTGTTCCCGAACATTTTATCAAAACAAGAATTCGGTACTTATTCCATGTCTGGTCCTTATCACTCACATGTTATTGCAAGTGGGATTTATTGATACCCCCACCCTCTTGGCCAAAAAAGCAATTTTTTGCTTGTTCTTTTGGTAGAAAAACAAGTGCTAATATATTTGTGATACTTTTTCCTGTATATTTTTTTACTTGGTAGATTACTTTCTGTATTCACTGCTATTCTACCATCTTCTCAGGGAAGATCCCAATGCCAAGGAAACTAACAAGGGACCCTCGGCTTTTGTCATGCGTATTTCTGATAATGAAACAGAGGACACAGAAAGTGAGGACGAAGAGGTCCTTGCTCAAAATTTAGTTGTTAGCAAGCGATTCTCTTGCAATGAACTTTACACAAGGTAGAGAAATTTTACTTCCTTATTATGTTATTTTTGTCTATGAAGTTCTTTTATGCAAAAGTTCTTGCCATTTCCAGTTTTTTTCCTTTTTGTCTTTGGACTTCACAAATTGGAGATAAATTTTCTTTTGATCAATAACTAGAATTCATTAGATTAAAAGAATTTAGTTACAACACTCCAAAGAGAGATAAACAAGCTTAACTCTCTCTAGGAAGATAACAAAAAAGAAAATGTTACAGAACAGCCCAAAACATTTGATCCCTTCCCACCCCCTGCTTTGCCAAAGCATAAGCAATTGCATTTGCTGTTCTCTTGACCCACTGAAACTTGATTTCCAGTCCTCTAGTTAGCTACTTAATCTCCTTCCTCTCATTAGCATATTTCCAAAGTCCACTACCTTCTTGTAACCAACTTAATACCAGCTTTGAGTCCCCTTCAATGATTAACTTTTGTATATTCAGCAACATATTCGTAGAAATATCAACAAATAGGTCCAAGGATTTCAGTCAATGTACCACCCTCACTGTTACTACTTCATTAAGGCATTCTTTACTTTTTTCAACTTCAGAGAAAATTCTGGTGTTCCTTTCCTCCCAAAGAGTCCAACAAACAACAACCCTAACACATCTCTACATTTATCCTTCCCCTTTTGTTTGGCCAACCAAAGAATGAGGGGCTAAACAAACTTTGAATGTTTGGCAGTGGTGTCCACCTACAACCAAAAGAGGAAAGAAACCCTTTCCAAAGATCAGTAGCAAAGGGGCAAGAAACTAATAAGTGGTGGGAGCTTTCACCATTAGCCTTGCAAAGAATGCACCAATTTGGAGACAAGCACCAAAAAGGCCTTTTTCTTTGGAGTATGTGTACGTCACAAGTATTACATCTTCTGAGGAAGGCTCCTCAACAAAAGGCTCCAATCCTTGGAGGAATCAGCTCACCCCAAACATCCTTAACTGGAAAGTTTTGTGCAAATGGACTAGATAGGGACTTGAAGAAAGAGGCACAAGAGAAGGTTCCAGTGGGAGTTAGGGTCCACAATCTCTTATCCCTCTCAATGGGATCCAACACCACCCAATTTAAGATCTGAACTAGACTCATGACATTTTCAACCTGTACATCCCTTAAGCCTCTTCTAAGCCTCAGATCCCAATCAAACCCAAAATTAGACTGAGAAGGAATTATAAAACTGGACACAACCTTGCCCTTAAACCAAGAGAGTGAAAACAAGGAAGGGAATTGATCTTTCAAAGGTATCTCACCCACCCAAATGTGCTCCCAAAACTTTATCTGATTCCCAGAGCAAAGGTCATACATGATGTGCTGCAGAAAGGAAGGAAGAATGGCATGTATAGATTTCCAAGGAGAGGCACCAACAGACCTTGCCAAAGTCCCAATGTCCTAGCCATCATCTGCTTGACCATGAATACTTAAAATTACCCTCGTCCACAGTTTATTCCCCTCACCTCCCAACCTCCATAACCATTTCCCCAACAAGGCTTAATTTTTCCTTTGAATGTTACCAAAACCTAACCTTCTGTCAGCCCTACTCCTAGAGACTAGTTCCCAATTCACCCTGTGATCCTTCCTCTCCTCCCCTGGTTCCCACAAGAAGTCTCTCATCAACTTCTCCAAATTCCTACTTATCTTCACTAGGATCCTAAAAACCGATAAGTAATACACAGACAAACTAGCTAGTGTAAACTTAATCAAAGCAATTCTACCACCCAGAGATAAAATAATTCTTCTTCCAAGAGGCCAACTTCTTAGCAAATCTATCAATTACGGGGCTGCAAAAGCTCTCTTTCCTCGGGTTATCCCCCAAGGGCATCCCCAAATAGTTCAACGGCCATTGAGACACCGTACAACCCAAAGCTTCAACCTTCTCCAATATAGCTCTCTCTTCCATATTGATCCCCACCAAACAACTCTTATCGATATTTGACATTTCTTCAAACACTTGAATCACCAACTTCAAGTTTTCGGCCCATCTCACATCCTTCCCCTCACAGAACATAATTGTATCATCAATGAACTGTAAGTGGGTGATAGGAATGTTTTCTTTTCCAACTCTCCATCCCCTCACAAGACTTCTTGAATCTGATTTCTCAATTAGCCTCCCCAACACTTCAGCGATCAAGGTGAAAAGAAATGGAGAGAGGGGGCCCCCTTGTCTAATTCCCCTAATAGCTGGGAGGTGATCCACCACTACCTTTCCATTTACCAGGATGGAGTAATGACAAGTCTCTATACAACCCATGATCCATTTACACCATTTCTCCCCAAAACCAAAGCAATCCAACACTTGCATAAAAAAGACCAATCAACCATATAGTAAGCCTTCTCTAAATCCAACTTGCACATAATTCCTTTCCTCCTTGTTCTGTGCATATCCTCCACACACTCATTGGCAATTAGAGATAAACTTTACATGATTTGTTAAATATGGTTTGCTTCTTATTTTTTCCTTTATCATGTGTTGATTGGTTAAATTTTTCCATCTCTTCCTTGAGTTCTTCCTTGCTTATTTAGTTGAGGTCAAGTCTTCAAGAGCTTAGGGGTCACCTTTTACCTTGGAAGGTGACAGTTGTTTCTTATGGTTTTATCTAATGAAAGTTACCGTTTCCTATCAAAAAAAAAAAAGAGCTCAAGGCAATGACCCCTGACTTATTTGTTGATCTAATCCTAACAAATAAGAACTAAAATATATAAAAATATTATAAACTCAAAAACTAAAAAGTATAAAAATACTATAAAGTACCTTGTACAAAAACAACTAGGTGCTTGGGCTGGGTGATCCCCATGGTTTCTCAGTTGCCGAGCTGTCACTAGGTGCCCACCTAGGCTTTTCCATGACAACTATCTTGTGCTGCATTTATACGTTTTTACATTCAAACTCAAGGGAGGTTGCACCTTGTGCCTCTCCTTGGGGTTCTTGTTACTTTTTCTGACATATCGTTAATAAATCGTTTATTCATTAAAAAAAATTGTATGTTTTTTCACACATGTACATCCTCTCATGTGCTCTTCATCTTTTTGATTGGTATGACATTTTAGTTACTCACAAAATTAGAAAAAGTGATAGTCCTGATATTAATGTATAAGTTCTTGCAGACATGAGTAATGGGACTTTTGCGAAATTTCATCCAAATCCAATTAATGAAGTACAGATTGAGGTTGTAGATCTTGAGAAGCTTTGAGATACATGAGGAAAGTTCTTTTTTTGTTTTTTCTTTTTATTCCTGACATCGAAGAGCGTGATCCATGAATTTAAGTCCAGCAGAAAATATCTATAGGGTTTGGTGCTAGTTAGTCTGATTCTACAAGATTGATTTTCACCTAAAAGGACTATGTTCCCAAATGCCAAATGCTATTTTGTGTCTCTTGTCCACCCTCTTCCATTCAGCAAAGGAGACTCCATTCAAGCTGAACTGCACACGATTTTGCAAGGCCTGCAGTTCGGGAAGTTTTTGGGGTACAAGAAGATGAAAGTGGAAAGTGGCTAAAATGTTGTAATACGGTGGATAAAAGACAACATCCATGGATTGTGACAATACTGACAGATCACATAGGAGATAGATTAGTTAGAAATAGATCTGGTTTCTACTTTCAGTTGGTGCCTAGATCCAGCTAGTAACTTGGTTGATGCTTTAGCTTAACAAGAATCAGTTATTTTGGGCAAAGCTGTAAAGCTGTAGTGTAAAAGGTTAAAAAGGGAAGGGGTTTGATAAACACTCATAAAGGGATGCTTGACATGCTGTACATATTCCATTCTTTTTTTTGATAAGTAATAAGCAAAAAAAGTTCATTAAAAATAAAAAAGATATAGTACATCCTGGACAGGTGTTAAGGAAAACCTATCATCAAAAACGGAACAGAAACAAATACAAATTTAGCTCTCCATCTCACAATTTTGTAACCCCACCATCTCCCATAATCTTTCTCCTAAATCTTCTCTCTTAAGCTGAGAGAACTCAGGCAAAACCTGAACCCAATCTGCAACAGATTTGTCAACAACCGCCATTAGTTTTTCCAGTTTCCCTTCCTTGTCTTCAAAGATTATTCTGTTCCTTTCTTTCCATGTGTTCCAACAGATGGCAAATCGAAGACAACTCCATATTATTCTAGCCTTCTTCCCTCCCTAATTCCTGGCCATGTTTTTGAGATTTCCTTAGGTGTCCATGGTTGGAAGTTTCCAACTCCAAAGAGTGCCATGAAGAGACTTGACAGAAACCCAGAGATTTTACATGAAAAGAAGAGATAGAAAACAGATTCCTCAGCTTCCTTACACATAAAGCACATATTGGCCATGCTGAAACCTCTTGTCTTCAAGTGATCCAATGTCAACACACAATCCATAGCCACCAGCCAAGCAAAAGCTTCCACCCTGGGGGGCACTGGGTTACCCTAGATCTGTCAATTGAGTCAAATTCCAATTGGTTCCTCAACAAGGCTGAATAGCAGGATTTAACAGTAAATTTCCCATTTGAGCAATCCTTCCACCATATCTTCACTCTTTCCAGCTTCTCCAGAAGATTTAAACACTCCTCTATCTCCCTGTCCAAGAGTGGTCTTCTAAACCTTGGACACCATATTATCTGTTCCCCAATTCTTTCATAGTAGCTTTGAATACTCACTTCCAGTTCAGACAGCCTGAACAGTCTTGGGCAAACTTCACACGATCTTCGTAGAATCTTATTCTAGCTCTATCCCTGACTGCGAAGCTTGTTAGACTTCTGAAGTCCTGATTGAAGTTCTTAATTCCTGTTGAAGATTAATCAATTTTATGATGTTTTTCTGAGTAGATGTTTTATGTTAGTTGTTAGATAGGAGGTGGGGACTATAGTACTTATGTGAGTCCAAATTTTATTATGTTTTTGAGTGTTATATATGCTGTTTTATGTTTTTCCGCTCTATAAGGGCATAGTTGTCTTTGTATTGTTCTATTATTTTTAGTATAAATAATAAGTGAAGGGGGCGGCCGGATTATTGCTCTCTCTTCT